GAATACATACCAGTAACGACGTCAGACGCCACCCTGACCTCCTCCGATGTGTGCTGAAAAGCATGACCCATGGGCTTCGGGGCCACAGACCTCCTATGTCCTACATCTTTAATCCTCAAGGTAGTCAGGGCTGGAGCCTACACCGGTATCACAACAAGCAATGGACAGTTTGACTTCACATGGCCAACCTGATCATAGTGGTAGCAAATCTTGGTGCTCGGCACTGGGGCCTGCTGAAGAAAATCCCTAGCAATATGGAACTCCCTACCATAATTGTGGCACCCAAAAGCCGATCGAGACACGCCCTCATGCGCCTTACGACACTTGCTACAAGTGTGGCCCCTATGAACTCCCGATCGTGAAACCACGAGCTTGAACCGCTTTGCTGCAGGATGTGGCTGCACTGAAGCCCGCCTCTCCTCCCTTGTCTAGATCTCAATTTCAATCTCCCGTCTCCGTGCGGCATCCTGAAGCTCGGAGAGGGTACTGTATCGCTGGGTAGACACAAACTGTCGAATCTTAGTCTTGTGCATGCTCAAGTATCGTGGCATCTGGGCCTACCCCGAAGCAGAATACTCAGGAAAGAAAAGATCTCTCTCAGTAAACATCTTGGTGATCTCCGTTACCGACTCTGTTGTCTACCTCAACGATAGATACTCATGAACCAACCTCTCTCTCTCTCTCTCTCCACCAGGGGAACATACTCCATTCGAAACATCTTCCAAGAACTGTCCCCAAGTAACAACAACTCTCTGCTCATGAGTATAAGAACCAATCACCAGGTTCCACCAATCCTTCACACCCAGACGAAGAAGGTTCAGGGCACACCTGACCTTCCAGTCCCCAAGACAGGAACAAGTGAAGAAGTAACCCTCCACATCAGAAATCCATCTCATAGCCACGATCAGGTCCTTGACCATGTCGAACTCTGGGGGCTTCGTGTTACTGAAGTCCTGGTACTGGAATGACCCTCTCCCCTGAACCCCCGCAGCAACAACAACTACGGTAGCTACATCAGTAGCAGCCTTAGTCACAACGACATACCGCTTATCGAACAACTCAATCATCGCGGTCTTACTAGACCCAAAAACCTCCGGGATAGCACACCGAATAACCGTATTCACCTCAGTGGAGATCAATGCCAGAATCTCATCATCAGTCAATCCTGGCCTCAACAGGCCGCCTGCTCCTGATCCAGAACCCCTCGTGTACACCATACTGAAAATGAACCAAAATGCATCAGAAAAGCCACAATTCATACTATTACAATCATTACGGAAATACTAGACCCTCAGGGTTCACGAATTCCTTGCTACGTCTACGGGTCCTGTGCTTCCAGTAGTACGAGCCCATACTACCTTCCACACCTACCCGTATTCGTATCAAGGGGTCATCACGGATTACCCGATCGCAAGACCCAACATTTAGGATACACATACATCTTATATGTTTCCAAAGAGTGGCTAATCCTTGCTCACGTTGGTCTGATATAAACTGCACCCACTCATGGAACTTCCACCAACCTTGCAGTCACTCATGCATGTTAATCAGACATAACGATGTATTCCATAGATAGTCGAATACTTGATTCTACCCTAATCCCACAACAAAACAAGGAACAAGAAATAAGGCTAAACCAAGCATTCTTAGGCTATAAAATCTTAGTTATGTACCATTATGGTGCATACACTAAGCAACTACAGTAATGATGTCAATTCCATCTAGCATACAAGAAATCTCCTAGGCTATCAGACATCATAATTCAAGCAATTCTATCATGTAATTTCTGAAGATCGCTAGCCTACAACTAGCATGCAATTCTATCATAATCAACATAAGCAATTAACAATGTGGGTATCTTGGGGATTACTTTCTTGCTCCGGCTGATAGTACACATTTCATCCCTCCTTGGTTATTTTTGAAAATAGTTTTGAAAATCATTTGGAAACTTTTGCAAATCCTTAGTTTGAGTCCGAATTTACACGAATCTTCATCCAGTCCTCTCAAACCAGGGCTCTGATACCAACTTGTAACATCTAAAAAATCAAGGAAAAATTTTCATTTTAAAAACCATCACAAAATCCATAAGTTTTACAAAAAAAAGTTCCTAAAAATCGTTATCATGAATCAGAGTATCCCAAATCATCAAACCACATAAAATCCTGGATGATGTGCACGATCAAGCCTTCACTTTTCATCTGTTATTTGAAGTACCTGAACCCATAAAAATCAAACTGTAAGCCAAAGCTTAGTGAGTTCCCCCAAAACACCACCACACAACATATAACAACATGCATACTGCGTCCATAGCTATCAGGCTGGATTACCCCTAAGCCCACAACACGAGTCTGGTTTGCCCACCTGACCCACAACTCACATCTGGATTGCTCTCGAGCCCACAACATAAGTCTAGATTGCCTTTCCAGCCCACAACTTATGTCTGGCTTTCTCCCAGGTTTGTTGGCTTCCGCACAGATCAATATTGCCTCAACCCAACCACACTATGTTGACAAATGCAACAGATAACACACATAACAACAAACAGATAATCATTTAGATCTAATAGATCACTACAACATAACAACATCCTATACCAGGATACATAATTTAGTAGGCCGACATTGGTGCCTTCGACGCACATGTGCAGTGAGGAAAACTCATCTCACAGTCTGAAAAATAGATGAACATATCATTCTTCCAAATGTTGTCTCTACCGGTCACCTATAAAATAAACAGGGACCTAATCTCAAACTACTATTCAAATTACCCAAAATGTCGTTAAGTCAAACTTGGTAAAATCCATGATCAAAGGTCAAAGTAAAAAGTCAAAGAGTCAACACAGGCTGAGTACGTCCTGCGTACTCAATCACTATGCATGGGGTAGTGAAGTCCTTTCCTGGTTACAAGGCCTTCATCTAGTACGCGCTACGTACTCGACCAACTCTCTCTTTCCTCAAAAAGTGCTTATTCCATTAAGTCCTCACGTGTAGAACTCAGATCTAGTCCTAAATAACCTCCAAAATCATAAACTTTCCAACTTTATGACTTTGGATGACTAGAAGTGCTCAAAATCCAAATTCTAACTTTCTACCCCAAACCCAAGCTTCATAACTCTTGCATGTATGGGAGAAAGGGACCAAAATCATATTTTTATGACCAAAAACACTCAAAAACATATGAAAGGAAAGCTCATTTGGTCTAGAGTAAGCCAAACTCATATATACCAAGATTATGGGACTAAAAGGCACAAAAACTCAAGAACTAGCAAGATCTAATGAAGTATACATCAAGTTCAGAACTTTATACCTTCTGGAGGTTGCTAGAGAGAAGAAAGTTCCAGATCCACAAATGTTGATGCTCCTCAAATGCTCTCAAATTGACTCCTTCCTTTAAGGATGAACACAAAACACTTAAAACCACTCAAATGCTATGACCACTGAGCATGCCAACAAGGCAAACTCATAAAATCATCTCCTGTCCCAGGTCACTGAAAACTCTCAAATTGAGATTAGGGTTTGCAAAGGATCGAATGGGAGAATGGAGGCTGGAGGTGAGAGGGTCTCAAGGCAGATAATGACATTATATAGGGCTCAAACCCTAAAAATTTGGGTTTGCTCAGCTGACGAGGACGCCATGCGTACCCATGAGTACGCCTTGCATACTCTCATGCATCCGCGTCCAACATTAAGAGCTTGCGCCCTGCTTGCGCATGACGTAAGGACCATTTTTGCAGTACTTTAATAATTTGAAGCAAAAAAAATTACCTGATTGGCTGAGTGTTACATGAATATATCAAAACTCATAATTTTGTCTACTATAAAGAGATACCAATTCACTATATAAACACATTTGTTTTGTTTTTTTCAAAATATGAACTCATTTGGGATTTGTAATATTAATCGGAAGTGTACCCGACTGACTCATTAACATTTCATAATGTGAACATGTCCGTATAGTATTGACATGTGGATCTGAATATATATATATATATATATATATATATATATATATATATATATATAGACATGTCCGTATAGTATTGACATGTGGATCTGAATATATATATATATATATATATATATATATATATATATATATATATATATATATATATATTCCTAAAGTTTAAGCTCTTTGGGATATTGTGAATCTAAAGTATATATAATTTACTTGTTACATTAAGAATGTAATATGATATTGTGTACAAAATTTATGCAATATCTCGTTAATTCAGTTGCAACTTTGTACTATTAGTCATTCACATATGAATTTAGGCAAATTAGGAAATAGCATGTGTTTGATAATAGAATGTCTCTTCCCTTTAGTTGGTTTGGGTAATTTCAAAAAGTTAGTTGGGTTGTTTGATTTCAAAACTAAGTTTTGTAAATTTTTATAGTTTCATTTCTAGCATCTTGTTAGTTTTATATATTTCGGAAAAATCCTTCAAACCTGTTAAAAACAAAAATCTATAATTTTTGGTAAACTATAAACGTTTTATGTTCACTCATAAAAATATGCATAAATTATTTTTAAAAATCAAAGTCGACCCCAAACTCCCAATTCTTTATTATTGATCGCTTCATATATACACCACATACATAATTCTTAATTATCGAATTAATATAAATATGTGCATATATTGTCAATTGCTTATTTCAAAATATCAAGTACGTATATATTATGAAGAGAAGAAAAGGAATAGGCGTTGCTAGATAATACCATAAAAGAGTAAGTAATTATTAATGTATCAATTAATAAACTATTAATTTCATTCGTGTATAAATCAAACGATAAGATACACCACTTAACTCAAAATGTTAATTTGTTTTCTCTGTGATTTTTTAATTAATAAAAACATGCATGGCCACTAAGACATGCATATTCAATTAGACATGAATCACATGATGAAACAATAGTTTTTAATTCTTATGGGTGTATAACATGTGTTAATTACAGAATGTACTCATAAGGCGGCGATGAAGGAAGGACATATATAAAAATAGCAATGATACGAGCAAGTAATTCTCATTGTTCTAGAGAGATATGGCACCGAGTACGAGATCAGTTCAGATTTATATTAAGTCAAACGGTAATGCTTTTCACAAGTTATGGAAATCAAACCCCCAACAAGTTCCCAGCTTGACACCGACTAACATCCACAACTGTCAAATCAATGAAGGAGATGTTGGAAATGTGGGCTGTATTCTATTCTGGAACTATTTTCATGGTAAACCACACATTTATGCCATATTTAACATCTTTCATTATGATAATTGTCAACTATATATAAAAATTAATGTAGTCTATAGTAAAACCGTATACACTTATATTTCTTTTTCCATATAAATACACTTGCATGCATGAAATCAACGTTTTGGATGATATATATGTTGTTGCAGATGGAAAAAAGTGTGTTATAAAAACGATAACCCTGGACACCGATGAGGGGAAAAAGTCTGTCACCTTCAAGGGACTTGAAGGTGATCTCCTGCAGGCCCGGTTTAAGAGGAGGGCAAGCTGGGCCACTGCCCAGGGCCCATATCAACTTGAGGGCCCCAAATTTAAAATTTATATCAGTATGTATTTTATAATAAAAAATTATGTCTGCTTATAATGTGAATTTGATTCTAGCTCACTTGGTAAGATCATCTTTTCATTTGATTAGGCACTCGCGTGTTCGATTCCTTGGAGTAGCATCCTTTTTAATTTTTACCACTTAATTTTTTTTTTTAATATGTTCAATTATCCTTTTTCTCAATTGCTTCTGTTTTTTCTTCCTATTTTTTACTTTGATTGCATTTCTAACTTATATTAAAGTTATATCCAATAAACAATAAAAAAAATAATAACACATAGTAGGCTAGATGGTTTATATGTTTGATTTTATTTGAATGTTACGTAATAGTATTGATTTTGACATTTTTCTAATTATTTTTTTTAAAATTCATTTTTTCGTTATTTACATATAATTTTGTATATTAACAATCTTTTGTAATAAATCACTAAATATTTTTATTTATGATCCTTAGTTTGTCTATCACCAAGATTCTTCGTAAAAAATTAACTTAGATTTAATTATTATATAAATTTTGGTAATTTGAAGGAGGGCCTTTTGTTTTTGTTTTGCCCCGGGCATCAAATATCATAGGACCGACCCTGATCTCCTGGAATTATATAAGACCTTTGTTGCGCATGTTCAAGTAGACATCCATGGTCCAGACAGCATTGTCAAATGGACTGTGGAGTATGAGAAGTTGGACCCTAATGTTCCTGATCTAGATACGCTAATGGACTTTTACAAGAAAGTCACCAAAGACATAGAGACTCACCATCTTCAGAATTAAATAAATCAAAATATGTATCTCACCAATATGGGTGAAACTTAATAATTAATTGTGGATGTTGTGCTACCTGTTTGTATTATGTTTATTGGATATATGTAATATGTTCGTTATATGTAAAAAAATGTGTTGTTTTAATTAATCGATCGCAGTAATTTGAATTTCGCCTTTAACTAAGAAAATAATGTAGTTGTAGAAGCTTCAGCTTGATCGTTCAACTTTTCTTTTTGAAGTAAATTGCTTTTCAAAGATTCATGCGAATATGTTAATGTATTGAGAAAAAACCCCAAATCAATCTCATTCAACTTCCTTGCAGGAGAAGACGAAGAGGTTGCATGTTCTTTGAATGAACCTGGAAATTTGTTCTTTTGTTTCTTGTGTTTTCTTCGTCCCTACATCAAAAAACAAGAATTTAGGGATGAGCAAAGGAACCGACCTGGCTGGAACCTGGCCCGGGAACGAAAGTCGGCCGAAATTAAGAGTCGAACCGGACCGTCGGTTCTACCGGTTCCTACCGGGTCTTGCCGTGTCTTCAATGTTGGAACCGGTCCTCGAGAAATAGCAACATACGGTTCCGGTTTTTGCCGGTTCCACCGGTTCCGGTTCTTACCGGTTCCCGATTTCAAAAATCCACAAGAATATCGTCCCGGTCCCGGCCCGATCGGTTCTATCCGGTTCTGGTACCGGTTCCGGCCGGTTCCCCGGTCCAAATGCTCATCCCTAAACAAGATCTACCCCTACATCATCTTGCTTTCTAATTCTTTATCCGTGTATCATTTTGTTCAAAGGATTTTATTGTCTTCGAGAGCCACAAGAAAAAGGAATTTCGTTCATTTTTAGGCTGTGGGGAGTGGTCACAGCCAACCCACCGAAAAAATGTTGCCACCTCTGCGCAGCCACGTCAGCTTCACCACCAACCCACTAGACATTGGAAATGATTATCAGTAACAATATATATATATATATATATATATATAGATATATATATATATATATATATATATATATATATATAGTAACATTATATTAAATAAATAACATAATATATAACATAAATATTTTTTTTTTTACTTTTTTGTAACATTATAATAAATAAAAAAACATAATTTATAACATAAATAATTTTTTATATTTTTTTTATTTTTTGTAACATTATATTAAATAAAAAACATAATTTATAACATAAATAAATTTTTTGAAAACACAAAATAATAAAACCACATTTCATTAATTAAAAACATAGAAATTTAAAACCTAAATTACTAAAATAAACATAAAACATAACAAATAAAACATTACACTACTTAAAAACATAAAAATTTAAAACATAAAAACCATAGACAAATACTACTCGTCGTCGTCACCGTCCTAATCCGTCTTGTCGTCACTGTCCGCATTCGCCTCGTCGTCATCACCCTCATCCTTATCGTCATTTCCCCCTTGGAATTGTCTTTCCCATAAGTGCTTGGTCAAATCGTGATGTAGATTGTGATGTGTTTCACGGTTTTGTATTTCTAAAACCCTAGAGAAGTATGTCGGGCTGCCAACTTGTATTACTGCAGGTGGATTAAGTATATCGTTCCCGGTATATGAACAAATAACCCTGCTCTCTTCTTCTATTATCATGTTATGTAAAATAACACAAGCAGTCAACACCGTCGTTAGTTTTTCCCTATCCCATGTTCGTGCAAGATGTTTGATTATGTGTCACTTTTGTTTTAGGACTCCAAACGCTCGTTCCATATCCTTCCGTGTAGATTTATGTGCTAACTTGAACAATTTCCGTTTTTCATCGGCTGTAAATGAATATGGCTTGACAATTGTAGCATACTATGGATATATCCCATCACCTAGGTAATACCCATACTTATATTCATTTCCATTCACAACGCATCACATGTCTGGTGCTTTATTGTTAAATAATGGAGACGCTTGAAGTACATTCAGGTCATTGTTGGACCCCGCCATACCAAAGAATGCATGCCAAAACCTTAAGTCCTGTGAAACAACCGCCTCTAATATAACAGTCGGGACCCCATGATCACCTCGCGTGAATTGACCACGCAACGCATTGGGATAATTTTCCCACTCCCAATGTGTACAATCAATACTACCAAGCATCCCTGGAAAACCATGTTTAGCTTGATGCGCAACATAAAACTGTTCGACATCACTTTTAGTCGGATATCGAAAGTATATGTCACGGTAAAGCTCTATAACATACTCACAGAAAAGATATGTACATTCTCGACCCGTCCTCTCAGACATTTTCAAATACTCATCTGATGCATCTGCGGTTATGCCATATCCCAATTGTCTAAGTGCGACTATACATTTTTGTATTGTAGCAAAACCATGTTTACCTCTAGCATCCCATTGTAATTGGAAAAACTCATAATTACGTTCCAAATCTCTAGCTATACGTAAGAATAAATTTCTACTAATACGAAAACGTTCTTCAAATTTCGATAGATCATATAAACTATCAGGGGAAAAACAATAACGTACCAAAAGGTCATTTGCCGCCTCTCGATCCCGGTTGATCCATTTTCTATGCTTCTTCTCGCCGTGTAAACTTTCGCCTCTTACACGAACCATGTCTTGTGCCGCAGACAATAGTGTGTGCAATACCAACTCGTCATCAGAATTGTCGTCCGTTTTTTGTTGAATGTGTGTGTTTGATTTGAAAGAGTTTGTGTGTTTTGTTTTGAAAAATATATGTAAAATGGATGTATATATAGAGAGAGAGTAAATTAAAAATAATATATATATATATATATATATATATATATATATATATATATATATAATTAAATGCTTTCAAACGGTCAAAAATTGACAAGCCAATCAGTTTCTTTGTCTACTTCTGTCCTCGTCTTCACGCCACAACCAACCCACCATTAATGGGGGCGATGTTCACGTGTGGAGAGGCCCGCTACATAAGCATCTCACGCGTGGAGACCTATCCACTCCGTGCAACCTTATGGAGTATACATAATGCTAATATGCTTAGAAGGATTGTCGTTTCTAGAAAGATTTTTGAGTTTTCATTGCTTCCTGATTTATATTTGGTAAGGATGGATATATGTTTAAAGAAAGGGTTTATGGGTTAAGATGAACATAAGAAGGCATATGAAATTGGTTTAAGAAAATGAAAGTTGGTTTGAGTGATCATAAATAGAAAAGACATTGGTTTTAAGACCATCTTCGCACTGAACTTTTAAAAGTTTAATATATTGACACATCAACATTCCAATAACTATACCATTTTACCTAGGAGTTTTAACTTATTTGATCATCGAAGTATAAAAATTGACTCGATTTAGCCACTGAAGATTTGATCACGCTAAATTGGACCCCAAAGTCTCATTTTTGGCTCGATTTGGTCCGTGGGACATGGTGAAGCCGGTTTCCCGGTATCAATGCCTACATGGCATCCGACGTGGCTAGGAGGGTCTTAGTTATTGACGTTATAACGACAATGTTAGGTTTAACGACGTCGTTTTGAATATAGGTAACCAACAACATGTCAAATCAAGATTACCGTCATTCTCCATCTTCTTGACTTGCAAACATCCTGTATTCTCCCTTAAAACATCCCACTCCAAAAATATGAAACGATGAAAACCGCTATTCCAAGAGTGACAAATAATTGACTATTGAGGCAAAAGGTAGCCGTGACTTCTCCATTGAGATAAACTACCATGGTGTATTCATCAAAAATCTTATGAGTTATGAAAATGGAGACAGTGAGACAGTACCACAATTTAACTATGTCTTTCTTACCTACGACAAATTCAAGTATGGACCGAGGGGAGTTATCAAAGATCAATGTGATTTTGTGCATTATGTTCTTCCTGGTGAGACATTAACATAGGGGGTTGAAGAAGCTTCAAGATGAAGTGGACTACATAAGGTTTGTAGAATGCAGGATGTCAACTGGTGGGCTGATGAGAGTCTATGTAGACCAGTTTAATGAGCCATTATTTGATTGGATTCAATATGAAGTTGTAGTAGAAGCTAAGGATAACATCCAAACATCATCTGATGAGGAATCTGAGTAGGAGGAATCCCTCACATGTGATGACATCCCCTTCTTGCACACTCTTGAAGATGAGGTAAATCATTCTTTTAATAACACTCTAAATGAATTTTTTTTGAGTAAACTGGTGATTACTAACGAGGAAAAGGAGGATATTGATGATTCCTAGTTTGATACTCAAAATGAAGTTAACGACCAAACTTATTATCCTATCTTTGATCCTAACACATATTGGAAATCACAAAAACCAATATTGGGTGTTCATTTTGAATCACCCAAACAACTTAAGTTTATGATACAAAACTATGTTGTTGCAAATGGTTATCCTTTGTGGTTTCAAAAGAATGACCATACTAGGATGTTAGTGAGATGTGGTAAATATGTTAAGGACAGTGAGGAACAATGCACCTTTAGACTTTGGGAATCTTGGACTGGTGAGAATGAAGAGGCATTCCAAATATAATCTTTGAATTGCACACATCATTGTTCTAGGCAATTCAATATTGGCACCATCTTCACTTACAAATGGCTTGGTAAGATCACAAAGAAGTTGAACACCAAATAGAGTCATTTAAAAAGAGAATTATTAACTTCTAGGAATCTTTCCATAAAGGAACTGAAGGGTAACATCACAAAGAAGTTGAACACCAAAGTGAGCTTGTTCCAGTGTAGGTGGGCTAGGAAGCATGCACTTGTCGTGTTAGAATGATCATTAAAGGAAAATTACTCTATGTTGCGGTGTTATGGTGAAGAAATCAGGAGATCAAAACCTGGGTCAACAGTGAAAATAAATGTTGATGTTATGCTTGATGGTACAACGTATTTCAATAAGTTCTAAATTTGTTTCAAAGCTCTTAAAGATGGATGGAAAATATGCTTGTAGGAGAGTTATCAGTTTGGATGGGTGCTTTCTCAAAGGGGTATGCAAATTTGAGTTGCTTTATATAGTGGGAAGAGATG